TTCTATAATACAATATAATCTTCTTTCCCTTCTTTTAGAATTTTATATTAGGTACTGTAAACATACTAATCTCTTGTCTACCAATTTTTCCACAATTTTTCAATTTAACTTCTATAATACAATATAATCTTCTTTCTCTTCCTTTACAATTTTATATCACTTTAAACGTACTAATCTTTTATCTACCAATTTTTCCACTATTTTTCCATTTAACTTCTATAATACAATATAATCTTCTTTCCCTTCTTTTAGAATTTTATATTAGGTACTGTAAACATACTAATCTCTTGTCTACCAATTTTTCCACAATTTTTCAATTTAACTTCTATAATACAATATAATCTTCTTTCTCTTCCTTTACAATTTTATATCACTTTAAACGTACTAATCTTTTATCTACCAATTTTTCCACTATTTTTCCATTTAACTTCTATAATACAATATAATCTTCTTTCCCTTCTTTTAGAATTTTATATTAGGTACTGTAAACATACTAATCTCTTGTCTACCAATTTTTCCACAATTTTTCAATTTAACTTCTATAATACAATATAATCTTCTTTCTCTTCCTTTACAATTTTATATCACTTTAAACGTACTAATCTTTTATCTACCAATTTTTCCACTATTTTTCCATTTAACTTCTATAATACAATATAATCTTCTTTCCCTTCTTTTAGAATTTTATATTAGGTACTGTAAACATACTAATCTCTTGTCTACCAATTTTTCCACTATTTTTCCATTTAACTTCTATAATACAATATAATCTTCTTTCCCTTCCCTTACAATTTTATTTCACTTTAAACATATCAATCTCTTATCTATTAATCCTTCCACATCAACCGAACTTTCAGTAATAAACCACAAATTATAATACTCACAGAAGTAACCCATCAGCTTAGAATTACTCCACAAATCTCAAACCCCTTACACAACTCTCATCTACAAACACTATACTAAATACACTTTCGATACAATCCACTTTTGCAGCCCCAAAATTCATTAATCCACATCTCCTGCCTAAAATGTCTCGTCTCGAGTGTACCATTAATAAAACAGGCCCTCCGGGATGTATCAGTGAAATTTTATGGTTCGTTGGAACGGTAGCCACGAAGAGCGAGGCATCCACGAGCATAAATTCCAAGCGGATGTATCGTTCGTCTGGACGGAGCGTGCGCGCTCGCACACCGCCCGGCATTCCCGGAGATTTCGATGCGTGGTAGCGAACGAATTCGTGAGCCGGGGGCGACGGGGCTCCTCGTGACGTGAAAAACTGGCAGGATCCTTGCGCTCTTAACTTAACGAAGGTCGTCCCGGTTGTGCGCAAGGTCGGTTATTCATCCGTGCTTGTTGCACAAGGATTTCATTAAATCGCTTTGTATTCCCCAATAGTCATCGTCGCGACTCTATCGTAACGGCTGGAGGAATACCAGAACGGTTCCGTGGCTTGTTCCGATGAATTTCTGATGTTACCAGACGCACGAAGGATCGTGCAATCTCTGCACGAGGACTGTCGAACGAAAAAAGAAAAGGAAGATCGAAATTTAATCGTCTGTGTCTCCTTTGGTAATGTTTCCTTTGCGTTAATTAACGTGTCACTTTTGGTTCTTGTATAGATATGCATATACCGTAACGTGCACACAGATTTGATGTTATACGTGGACGACGTTGGTGATTCCTTTTCAGATCTTTTTGTAAAATTAGTTTCGACGTAGTTTTACGACGAGAAACCAGTTTCGGCGAACTTTTACGACGATTTCTTTTCTTCTTGGTAAAATCGGTTTCATTGCAGTTCACGTCGTTTTGTTGCATCACGCGGGAGATGGGTCCTACAGCTCGCGCCACCACCATAAACCTTGATTTTATTGATTTCAAGAAACTGTTAAAGACAAACGTGATACAGTTAGGAACGAGCCGCGTGATACATTGTTCGACTTTATTTCATTCTCGAGTGGTTCCCAACGACTTTAAGTTTATTTTGAAGTGCCTTCTCTTCTTCGTTCTCTTTTTGAAACGGTATCGAATTTATGCCGGTAATAAAGACGTGGATCACGGTGGGAAAGATTTCGTTTTATACGCGAAACGTCATCGGGCGACCTTCGCTCGATACATGGCTTCTTCAAATTTGAAAATTGTCCTTACGGTTTTGTGCTTTTCCGAGAGAATCCGATGAGTCACCTGTGCGCGTTCAGTAAAATCGTATTGTTCGTTTTAATAATACGAGTAACTATACGTCAACCTTAAGATTCGTGCAAAAGTCTCTGGCCGATGGAAAATTTCCTCCGAAGAATTTCATTCGCGGCTGTTGTGTTTATCGTTACAAAAATGACGAAATAACATTGAAACAAAAATAGGCCGTTTAATTATCTTCTCTAGCTATGGCGGTGCGAGAAAACTTTTATAGGTAATTGAAATAGCTGGAGAAGCTAATTAAATATAGATACGCGAGAAAAATGTAGCACCATAAATTCAATAGACAAGCAAGATAACATCGAAATACCTGAAAATCACAGGACACCAAAGGACAAGTCGAAAAGATTTTTCCTCGAAAATGACCAAGCAAGATCTAATCGAAAAAGTCAAATTCCTCTTACGTACAAGTACAAACACGTACACTTTGATAAATTTTTCCACGTCACATTAAAATCAGGGGAAAAAGAGCGCAGGTACATATAATAATATACAATTTTGCGTAATGTATTTTAAATAATTACTCGCCGTATTACAACAAAGTTGATTCCACGAATACGATACCAACGCTCATTTATTCCCAATTCTGCTGTCTTAATTAAACATTCGATCGGTCCTCAGAGCTTCTCTTTTTCTCTACGTATTTATTCGCCGCGAGTCTCATCGTTCAGATTGACCCATTAAAATTCAAACACCCGGAACAACCTGAAGCGCGTATTTTACCGGCGTATAATGTATCAGTCGCAATTAACTGTCTCCGATCGGCGGTAATAAAGACATATGTGTAACAAAACGACGACCGAGAGACGCCGAAAAACCATGGTTAAACGTTCCTCCGGCAATTTACTCGTTCGACGTCGCCAGACCGTAAAATATTAACACGAAAAGACGGACATTAAGGACACGTGGGCGGTATTTTGCAGAAGATGGAACGCTATGCTATTCTGTTCTCGTCTGCGACAATTCTCCAGGTAACCTTGAGTTCTCGGTAACCATCGGCATCCGCCTAATTAACGTAGCTTTCGTGGAAGAAACATCACGGTTGCAAGCTCGTAAAATGCTCGTGAAGCCCGGCTTCCATTAATATTTGTGAATAATTCCAGCGTTAATTACTGCCGCTCACGTCCGCGGCCTCGTGACAGAAGACCACGTTCGCGACGCGTGCCACCTGGTGAAAAGTTCTTAGCCTTCGTGCGTCTTGTAACAGTTCAATGTCAAGCGGTTGGCTTAGAACGACGATGCGTTTGGTGTACGGTAGAGCTGCTGCTCGGATTCAAGCTGATTGGAATAATTCAAATTTCCATAGTAATTTAACACGATTCGTAACACTCTCCGTTCAGGCTGTTTGATATTTTCGCCTTTTCCTTCTTTTGACGCACACTGTGCAGCTGCGACAGAAATTAATACAGAAATTTTTGTTTTGCTCTGTAGTGCATCTTGGACCTACCTTTTTCTTGATAACAGTGATTCTTGCAGTGTTGTTGATGTTAGAAGGTATACAGAGTCGAAAGCAAATTTGTCAGTCTCGAAAGTCACCGAAAATCAAGTCATGGAAAATTAAGGTCTGAAAATTTAGTTAATACTTAATTTGATAAACCGAATTTTGTAACGATACGAAATTTTGTAACGAAAAATTGACCGCCAATCACCCTTGTTACGCATTAAAATCTGCGAAAGGGTTAAGCATATCCGAATCTTGAGTATAGCTACTCAATTTAGAGTCGAGTACCCGAATTTGGATTTGAATATCCTAATACACGCGTGTTTCCCTCGCGATAAATAGAGCTGCTTTGAAATTATTTCCTGGGAGCACATAAAGTGTAATAACGGGCACTAATTATCGTGAAAATACAGCGCTTCCTCGAGCATCGCGGCATTTTTTCTTAAAAAATTTTGACGTTCATTTCGAATCAATTTCTTTATCCTGGCGAATAAGAGAGGTGAGAAAGAGCGAATATGAATTCATTAGTGTGAACTAATTCCTTGAAAATTACCCATTACAAAGAAAAAGTAGAATATATAAATGTATGCACATGCATCGAAAGACCATAAATACGCTTGAATATTTTGCGGGTGGTTCCCAACAACGCGATCGACCGATGGAACACTGCACTTCAATCTCACCGTTCCTCGGCAAATGATATTTTAAGCAAACAGCATGTCTCTTAAACAGAAATTTTTCCAATGCAAGTGTCAGAAGTTTTATGAACAACTTGGAACCCCCGTGTGCGCGGCGGTGATTAATCATACGCTAGTTAAAGCTTCGGATAAAATATCACGCGGGGATAAAAGTAAGTTTAAAAATAATCCGAAGGATACTTACTTACAGCTGAAGTAACTTGATATCGTCGAGAGATACAATGAAATATAACGTTGTAAATTATATTTAAATTCTCCTCGGTTCGGTAATATTCGTAAAATTGCGCCGTAAACGGTAAGCCGGCTCGATCGAGAAAGTTAATTGTCGCACAGCTTAGTCGAACCGTTAAGGGTTGAAGGTGATAGCGCAAGTATTTCATTATTGTCGCGTCGAGAAAAAGAAGGAAAAAGAAAAGGTAAGGTAGCAATTCATCAACGTCAGATTTTTCTGTTGCGCGTTGTGTTCCGATTGGGACGAGATAAATTAGCGTCATTTAATCGCGTTATAGTTAACGCGGCATAATGTGTAACACATGTTTCACAATACTTTCTCTTGCACCATTGTGCGGCAACAAAAACTTAATCAGACGTGAATATCACGGCCACAGCTTTACCGCATAAACGAGGTGAACTAGTGCTCTGCGAAAAAAAAAGAAAAATACGTCGCGATGGCGATCAGGTCGTTACTATGCTTGATTTGCTGGCAAAGGAGTGACCGGAAGGTATAGTAATCGTTGGAGACAATTTTCTGCGATATCGAAGAATTCCTTCTTTTCTTTTTTTAGCATCTCGATGGGATCTTGTAGAATTTCTTTTCTTGTGTCGTTGCTTGATTTGCCTGTGATTATTGGATTCGGTGTGGTTTTTCTTTAATTTAGCGCAGATTGATAATTTAGACTGTCGTCAAAATTGGTTGAACTTTGAAATTAGCTAAATTTCAGAATTAGTCAAATTTGAAGATTGCGCAAAGGTTGGTTCGATTGGGTAACATGTAGGAAACCATCTAACGGTACGATCTTACTTTCGTTCAAATTGATGGACGATATTTGCCATTTCGTTTCGTGTAAAAGTTTCTTTCACTTGGAATTTGTGTATGCGGAACGCGTATACAGAACACGCCGTTTCAAGAGAACACTCCTTTAACTTGAACTTTTAACGCTGTTAAATTCAAGAGACGACACACACGTACTTTCCACGATTTGCCTAATTTTACCAAGTTTGCACTTGGCGTACAATTAACTGTCTAATCTATTCCATCTAACTGGAACACCAATCGAGCCGTTTATTTGGAAAGTGAGGCAGGTCCAATCGATGGAACTTAATATGATCCTTAAACAATCTACAGTTGAAAGGAAAAATGAACTTGCACCACTTTCAACATAAACGTCTCAATTATAAAAGTGTCCCCGAGATACTCAAACTTTTCGGACTACCCTCTTGCATATTTCAAAAACCACCTGCATGTCATACTTCGGTTCGCAACAATTTCACGAAAACAATTCCATCTCGTTGCAATCTAAGTCCATTTAACTCAAAATCACATTTCTACGCAAATTCCTCGAACACAGAAGCGAGACACGACGAATTAAATAAAACCCACGCAACGAAATTCTCAGCGAGTGCAATACCATTCACAACAACCGTATCCATCGAAACGTTCTCATATCTCGCTTCACCCACTTCGCCAGTCATCGCTTAACTATCTCCGTTGAACCGGCTGTTCGAACCTGGGCACAGGGGAAAAGAGTCCGCGGATAGGAAACCGCGACTCTACGCAGTTGTAACTCCCCTTCGAAAAAATTGCCCAATCTCACCGGTCGAATCTGTACGTCCACGTAAGTTCCGCGGCCGGCTCGATGCAACAGTGACGTGTACCGAAGGATGGACAGGGGGACTAGGCGTGATTCGTCAGGTCTGGGGCCTCTTGACGTTCCGGTTAGCCGAGGTAAATCGTAGGGAGCAGACGGTGGCGGAGGTTGAGAATCGCGTGTTAGAGAGAGGGTAGAGAGGCGAGTTGAGGCGATCGGCTCTCTCGGATCAGCTGTGAGAGCAGCGTGGCGCCGTGTGCCGCGGCTCTGACCCGCTGTCAGTTGCCCGAGCCCTGTGCTACGGTTAGGACCGTGCAATCGTCACCTTTTAACGAGCACGAGGCAAGCTTACGGGATCGTACCCCGAAACGGACTCGGCTCTTCTTCGCAAGCCGCGTCGTCGTGATCCTCGTTGGAAGAAGCCGCGTGGTTCCGTTCGACGAAAAAATACCGAGCGAAACGATCGAGGAGAACGTTGCTGACTGGTGAACACCGTCGCGGTCGATCGTTTTTAGAAGGTGATTCGATTTTTGACGAGTAGAAAGACGGCTTGAGGAAGAAGAAGAACTGGTGGTCGAGCGCGTTTATATTCGAACCTTGATACGTTCACGTTCGATTGAAACGTGATTGACGATCTCGACCTGGGGATATTTCTGACGGTCGTCAGACTTGAAAATCGTACGTTCGATCGTTGATCCTGAAAGTTTGAATCGTGTCGACGGAGAAAGAAAGAGGGAGAGCGAGGGAGAGAGGGGGAGAGGCCGGTTCGAATATCGTGGTGGTTTTTGTGGTGGAAAAGTGATTCGAGGTTAATCGAAGAGAAGCTCGACGAAGCGAAGAGAGCCGCATGCTTCGCTGACAAGTCTCAGGATGGTCTGGTAGAGGAGGCGCTTGGCGGTTCGACAGCGAGAAATGGCGTGCGGAATATCGTTCGAAGCGACTGCCACGAGCACGGTACTTTTCCTGCTGGTGAGTAGCTGCATCACGCGTTTTCACGCCTAATTTTTCTACGCACGTGCGTTCACCCTCGTTGTCCCCGATCTGTGTTTGTCGTTTTAATAGGTCTGATAAGATGCCTTAACGTTCCGTGTCGTGGCACTTTCACTTTTTACGCGGTGTCCTTTACGAGACGGTGTGTGTATTCGAAGTGCAGCTAGCTCATTGTTTATGGGGGGAAAAAACGAACGTTTCGATCGGGGAAAATCGTGACGTGTCGTGTGGGACGTTTTTCTTCTTCTTTTACACGGAAATTCCAATTCCGACAGATGTGTTCATATTTGGCGAGGACAATTTTTACGACCGTCGAGGGATCCTTTTGTTTACACGTCCGAAGGACGAAGTCGAACTATTTACTTGTTTCTTAAGTACGTCTTCGACGAGATTATCGCGATCACTCTGATTTAAATATGAATATCGCCAGTATGCTCGAGGTACTTTCAAGATGCATTGTACTGTACCTAAACGCTATGTTTGGTAACAGTAACATTCACGGTGAACCCGGTGGAATTCAAACTTGAGCGTGTACCTTTTAGACGCAGGCAATTTCGTGTGCTGTTTTGTTCGAGACGATTTTAACCAGAGATGCTTGACCTATGGCAATTTTTGCGCGATATTAAACGAACTCTGTGTTCGTTGGTGTCTAATTAAAATGGAGAGACTTAGACGAAGTAATGTGCGGTGTTCCTCGTGTATTTTCATTTTGATCGTTTTATTTATTTTCGTCGGAAAAAAATTTCTTTCTTCATAGGTATTTGCCAATAATATTGTGTCCAGTTTCTAATCAAAGAGTGCATGAATTATACGTAAATTGTATTTACCATTATTTTTCTGATTCTTTTTGGTACTTGAAGTTTACGTCGTCGTACTTTATTTTGAAGAAACATTTCGAATAATTTATGCAACTTGCAGAAGCGTTGATCGATAAGAAGATATCTAAGAATAGCAACGTCTCTTCGTTTCATAAACTAAGCAGAAAGATTCAACATTTACACTAAATAACTCTAAATTACATCACAAGGATAAATGTCACGAATTCGCTAACATCAACCTTTGTTACGTCCTCGATGCGAGCCGTCATACACTTTCTGAAACACCACCCTTTATATACAAACCGTGACATTTACCCCAGTGATTTCATCAATGTTCTCATACTATGCTTAATCACGATTTTTTTTTTCAACCGTACGAATAGGCGTAGACGACGCCTCCAAAATAGGTAGAAGTAAATGAATCTTTCGCGGGGTAATTAAGTTCGATTGTTATAAAATTCGACTCGAAGTTAAGGTATCGGTCTAATTATTTTGTTGTTAAACAGAGAAACGTATTTCTTGGTAATGTTGTGTTAATAATGTGCAAATTGACCACCGTTGGAAATATATTCGTCGATTTTTCATTCAGGTATTTACGATCGTATTTAGTGGAATGAACTTTCACCGAGTAATAGTCTAGCTATTGTTAAATTTTGCAATGATAAATCATCCTGTTGCTCTGTGCACGAATGTTCCCTTATGTATCGAAGGCACCAGTGAAATTTCCCATAGATATATTTGAAAAGAATTTTTTTTAACTAATTTTCTTGCACCTTTGTGGCTTAACCCCTTCGTTCCCATTGTAATGTACGACTATATTTTCGTTTTTGCAGTAGCAATGATTTCTTTGTAAAATATTCGAAATAAATTAAATGCATTTTAGTTAGAAAGAAATATCTTGGTTAAAATTTAGTTACTTATTGTCTCATGTAACTACATTACGTTTTCATTGTTACCAAAAGTTGCCAAATGGGGACCAACGATAAGAGTCTTTAAGCATTTCCCAAATGTCAAAACGGTTTTACGAATTAGATACTTGTTTGTCACGAAATGTGCAAAAAGTACGAATAAATATTTCGTGCAGCTGTTAAATAATTTGGGAAAGAGAGGGTTGAAGTACATATTTGAAAATGTAACTCATGATATAATTTCTTTAACACACATTTGCTACACCAAACCATTCTCAAAGCACCCTAAAGATTTCTATAATTATTAACTATTAACCGCCTGTACTAAAGACTATCAAAATTAATTTGCACTCCGGTTTCATGCTACGTTTCCTCCATAACAAAACTAATCACCATTGATTACACCGAGCCATTCTCAAAGTACCATAAATATTTTTAAACCGCCTATACCAAAAACCATCAGAATTAACTTTCATACCACACAACCATGCACTTCCTCAATAAAAAAAAAAACTAGATCACACCAGGCCATTCACAAAGTACCATAAACATTTTTATAACAATCGACAATTATTAACCACCTGTACCAACAACCATCAAAACCAACACTACCGTGCACTCTCTCAATTAAAACGAAAAGATAAAAGCCATCCTCCTTCCATAAAGCACGTCCGGTCACGCTAGCAACGAGACGCGCGATATCCACCTCGTCCACTCTGCGAACACTCAAAAAGTCATTATCACGAACCCGTTAACATTAACCTTCACGCGTCTCGAACGTGGACAGTCGCGCGGGTCCCTGGAACGCCTCTTCTCTGCACGCAAACCCGTGACATTTCTCCGCTTGATTTCATCAACGTTGCCTCATCCTCCACCACCTTCCCCGTCTCACTCTCGGGGTGTTACGATTTCGCGGTGCGTCATTATCTTTGCGTTCGCTAGAAATCCTCGTTGTATTCCGGTTCTCCGTGAAAACAGATGCAAAAGCTGCTGCTCGCGAGGCTGGCATGCAACAGGCAGCGTGGTGCACGCACCGGTATACCTACGTGGACGGCTAGAGTCAAGGATACAGGCGTTATCTAGCCGGTGATTGCTATACTTTAAGGCCTGTTTCATGCTCTCTCGGCTCTCTCGCTTATTCACGTGCGCAAATGCATACACAGGTCGCCTCGTCGAGCGATACTTTTGTTATGCAAGCGTGGAATGTTAAGTTGCCGCGGTTCCTTTGGAAGATTATGCCCTGACGCTCTTTTATCTTATGCAACGGAACCACCGTGGCGAGCCTCGTTCGAAGATTTAGACGAGACTCTGTCGGGCGAAAGGTTTGACTTGCGACGAGAGACGTCTTTCAATGTGGACGAACGTCGACGTTGTTCTTCTTCTCGCGGCGAGGAAGATTGTCGGATCCTTTTTGGTCAGTTGGGTGTTTTTAGGGCACCTTTGTTGCGGGGTTGAGAGAGATCGGTCGAAGGAAAATGGAGAAATCTGTTTCGTGAGATTGTAGGATTTGGTAGATTTGAATAGTGAGATAGGGAGTTGAAGGGGATAATTGTTTTATGGGTCTAAGAATATGATAGAATTTCAACATTATCGACTAAATACTTACTTTGCGTAGAGTCTTTTCTTTTTAGGGTGGTTGTGACTAATTTGCCGAGTTCTTTATGTAGGTTAGTTGCTTAAGATAGTTTTTTTTTGGATATACGAAATTTATCTGACACTTTAGGTAAATTGTACTGTTTACTTTGTTGATCACTGTTTAAAGGGAAAAATCGGTAATTTAAGGGGAATTGTTAAATGAAAAATTTGATTGGAGATAGGAAAGGAACAATTTTATATTGTCTTCTGGTGAAATTCTTTTTATACAAATTTTTTCATAAATGTTCGAAGTGAAGAAAATTAGAAACACCGTAATAAAAGATGAAATTTCTCCGTGCTACCAGTATGTAAATAAGGCTTCGTGCAAACAAAATTGCATCGAAATTATTATATCATTGAATGTAGCAATAGCCTCCCTTAAATTTTCCTCACATTTGACGTTAAGTATAAAGTTACTGTGCACGCATGGAGAAGAATAAAATATTCTTAATCGATATTCTTTTCACGCATTCCTCGGAACGCCACAGT